GATGAATGAGAGGCAATTGTGCTAATTGTGGAAAACCAGCTAATCTATGTGGGGAGGCTGGAGGAAGATACGAATTATTTTAACAAGATCTATCTGAGTAGAATTCTCTCTGTCTCAGCTTCCTGTCCGTAATGATAAAAATGTCTGGTTTAGGGAGGACATCTCTCATACGAGAATTTGATCCCTTGCTTTTAAGAAAAAGAAGGAAAGTCATAGTTTTTTTTTTTTTTTTCCTGTATTTGCTGTTTTTCTAGTGCCTTTAACTCAAAATAGTCAATGTACCAGAGCCCCGTATTTTGGGGTTGCATGTTCTGAACTCTTTCAACATGCGTGAGTTTTTTAAATGACATGCGCAGCCAATGAAGTATTTGGACTGATTTATCGTGATGGAATCTCAGGTTCTGGAGGCAGGCAGCACTGGGTTTAAAATTCACTTGTCACTTACTAGCTGCTGGAGCATGTGGTTTACCCATTGAGTGTAGATGGCGAACATCTATCTGCAAAGTGAAGGTGATAATAGTGCTTCTCTCCTGAGGCCGCTGTGAGGATGACACAAAATAGTGTGACCGGCACGTACAGTGCCTGGGAGAGAGCGGACCAGCTGTTACCCTCTTCCACGGCGTGGACTCGCGTCCGATGGGTGACTGGTTAAATCTATTTCTAAAAGCACCGTCTGACCTTCGGGGTACCTGAGTACTGCGGTGCCAGTTTCTCCTCCCCCCTCCAGCCGTGACCGGGTCAGGAACTGCGGGGCCAGAGGGGTCTTCCGAGCTCGCTTCCGGCCATGGGGCTGAGCCTGGGGTTTTCCCGGGACGCTCGTTGCCGTCTGTCATTCCTCTAGCAGATCAGCAGGCACCCAACACCGCGGCTTTCAGAGCGTGCCCTTCCTGCTGCGCGCTGCCCCCGTCAGGCTGCGGCGGGTCACCTCCCGCACGGAGCAGGTGGCTTCCGAGCACACCGGAGGGAACCCGACCCGAGTTCCCGGTTCCGGCTCGTGCAGCCCGGCGGCTGGGCGTGGGGAGGGCTCTGCACGGCCCGCTCGGCCTCCCTAGCCTGGGTGGCCTTGGCGTTTGCTTCACGGTCTTCGGGGAGCTTCCCCAGCCCCTCGCGAGGGCACGAGGGCGTCCAGCCGCGTTCACGAACACAGCAGGAAGAGTGCTTCCCCCTGGTTCTGGTAAAAAAAAAAAAAAATCCCAGGCAGGGACTCTGGCTGGCTTGGGCCAGAGTTGCTCCGGCCCAGGGAGCACCGACGGAGGCCGGCCCCGAGCAGGCAGGTGTCCCTGGCCTGCGAGGCCGTGGTCCTAGGGCCATGTCGGATGATGGCAGCTCCTCTCCTAATCTGATGGCTAATGGGGCCGGTTTTCCTAAAAGAGGGCGGGGGCTCCGAATCCCGGGAGAAGCCAGGGTCCCCAGAAGAGAAAGCAGAGATGTCTGATGCTGGCCATGACTGGCCACAGGGCGGCCATGCGCGAAGAAGCCTTCGAGCAGGACACGCGAGAGGCAGAAGGACACGAGAGGCCCGGGGTGGAGAGAGGTGATTTGACATTCAAAACATTTAAGAGGTGGCATTCGTGGAGTCATAAACAAACCTTGAAAAACAAATTGTCCATGCAAACACCCTCCCAGTAAAACAAGCAGTCTGCTACGTGTGACCCTTTTGAACTTGTTTGCTGTGTGGCCTGCAGTTTTACTTGTTGATTTTGTGCTACTTCATTTACATAGTTATTGCCATTTGTTAAGTCACCTGGACGTTTTCTGTCTAGACCGAAGTAAAGGACATATGGTTATTGACAAGTTAATTTGTCTTTTCAAGTTGTTAAACACACAACAGGCTTCTTAAATGCCCCTGTCTCCTGCCTCTACACACAACCAACTGGATATAAAAAAAAATCAATCTTCTCGACTCATGGCAGAATGACAGTGCTCCTTAGACTTTGACTTTTTTTTATTGGTTTATCTGTGAGTAGAATTATTCTGTCAAACGATACATTCCAGGACTAGTTTAATGTGATTACAGATTTATAATAGATACAGATTTCTCTTTGTATTGGTAGATGTATAGGGCTTAATACTGTTTTTGTATTTAGATCTTACATAATCGTGTAAGGCATTTTTTTTATTGTAATAAGTAAGACCCTTTTAGGCATCCGTGAGACCACGCCTGCTTTCATAATAATAGGTTTATTTGCTGTTCTGCACTAGCGGTAGAAAAGCAATAGCAGGCAAAGCTGCCAGCCCCTGAGCACACGTCAAGGCCGTGGCCCGGGCCGTACTAGTAGTCAGTGTGTTTTTAACCACCATGCGTTGCGAGGGGGTGCGGGGAGCCACTCTTACTTAAGAATGTCCTCGACGCAGCAGCGAATGTCATTGGTTTTCAGCCCCCGAGGACAGGCCTCACTGCTGTTGTGTGCGAAGCCACGAGGCGCCTCGCTCCACGCCGAGGTGCGGCGCTGTGTTCAGGGGCGGGCCCTGTGCCGTTGCTGGAGCTGCGGGCTCAGCTGCGTGCGTTCTCGGGGATGCCATTTCTACCTGATAGAATGGCTGGCAGACAGACTGCAGTTATTCAGACTTGGGTACTGGCAAGTATTCCCTTCAAAATTAAGTGCGTCATATCAAAGAAATGACAGCTGGTGGTGGTCATTGCCAAGTATCAAGTTCCTAGTGAAGACGAAGTTCTAGGTGAGAGCTGGGACTGGGCCCGACAGCCTCCCAGTCTTCGGAGGCAGTGCTCACGCAATCGGTGGCGACGTTAACAAAGGTGACTTTCTGGATGTGTTGTGGCAAAATGAGTCAGCGTTTGGAAGATCTGCATGACTCGGTGAACTAATACTTTCTAAATGATCAATGTGTGATGTTACAAAATCATGCCACGGGTAAAAGATTCGCTCAAAGTACAAGACAGAGCAATAGATTTTAACCGCCAGGGTTAAAAGCAAGTTCACCGGCGGAGGTTTGAAATCATGTTATCTCAGTTCCCAGCGGCCTTAGTCTTTCATTCCTAACTGTCCCGCTAGTCTGTGAATTTTCCATTGGATGTTGTGATTCACTCTAATATTTTTCTTCTTTACTCGCGCACATCGCCTTTGATAGATCGTTCTTCATTTTCGTTCTTCAAGCCCCAGCCTTTACGTATTTTCTCAAAACTCATTCCTCCCAGCTCGGTTTGCCTTTGCCCTCCTTTTGGTCAAACGGGAGTCGTCTGTCCTCATCATTTCAGCCCTGACCTCTCTGCACCCCTCAGCGTATTCCTCTGTGGGATGACATCCATCCCCCTAAACCCCACCTTTATGCGGGGAGTTCCTGCACTCATCCCTTGATGACTTTTTTCAGCCATTGGATGAAATTCTGTTTCTGTGTCCAAAATAATTCAGTGTCTTTTTGTTCATTGATCTAGTTTCCTAACTTGTTTCCTCCTTAAAGGCGCTGCGTTCTTCCCGTCACTCAGACTCAAAAACCCCACTCCTGCACCCTCCCTCCCGCTGCGTCCAGTCCCGGCCTGCGCCCTGGGGTTCGGAAGCGTCTTCTGTCCTCCCTGCCTCCTCCGCTGCTGCCCTCCGAGCCCACTCAGCGCACTAGGCGACTCCGCGGGCCGTGGTCACTTCCGCCCTTACTCCTGGGCCCAGACCGGCTGCCCGTCGGTCATCTCCCTGAAACACCACTCCGGTCCCGCATCGTCCCGCATCGTCCCGCTCCACCTTCTCAGTGACTCCATTTCTTTCGGCCGTGTTCCCTTTTGGAGGAAGAGTGTTCTCCTGGATTCCCAGTGTTGACATAAGCTATTTTAATTATGATACAACTTAAATAGGTCCAATTATAGAACGAAGTGTAACTTTTGTATATGTAACTGTTTAAAGCAACATATCGATTCATTATAAACAAAACTATAAAATAGATGAAATATAAGCTAACGGCATAGACGTGACACAGGGTGTTTGCTCAAACTAAAGCATCGAATTTGACGTGAATATGGTACGGGGCGTTCAAAGCTTGACATGGACCTGTTAGGCTCGTCACACTCCCGAGAGGCCTTTGCTTCCCCTGCATGCTGGGACGTCATTCGGCCTTCACTTGGTACAGATGTGTCATTTGAGAAAGAGATCTATCGTCTTATTTTTTAATCCTTCGGCCCGCTACAATTAGAATAGCATACTTGGTTGCAAAAACAGTAAATAAAGATGCATACTCAGGCACTGATATGCTTGGTGCTTTGGGGTTACTAGGCCAGCATCCAGATAATCCAGAATTGCGGTGTGTGTATCTGTATGTGAGGGAGGGAGGGAGAATTTTCGTTGACTCGAGAAGGAGGAACTTATAAGACGATTTAGAAAATGAACAGAATCTCAGCATCAGCCCAAGCTTGCAGAGGCCGCAGACCCCGCTGTACAGGTCGCTGACCTGTTGGTGGGTAAGGACAGAATCCTCTTTGGTCGTTGGCGTCCAAGGCCTTCATGTTCAGCTCTTTTTTGACTTCTTCCTGTCGTGCGAACCCGCTCCCATTTTCCCAGATCTGTGCCTTGTCTCCTCTCGGGCCTTTGTCCCTGTGCAAATCCTGTCTGTCTACAGCCATTGAGGATTAATCGACGCTCTCATTTTCCCTCGAGGCTTCAGTCCACCTCTTCAGCTGTAATCTGATATTTCTCTTTTTTTGAGCTTCTCCTCTGAACATTTTTCATACTTAGTACTTTGGAATATTTTTTTCCTAATATTAGTTTCAACTGTTTGATTTTCACGTTTTCTATATCACTGGATTTGAGGAGTTTTGAAACCAAATATCTTAAAAGTTTTTTAATCTTCAGGGTCATTGTTGATAATTCTTGAAGCGCTTACTAAGTGAATCAAATAACTATGAAAGGCTCAGTATTAGGGGTTTAGTTTCCCCTGCAGAAATGTGTGATTTCTTCACACAGAGTGCAAGCAAAGCAATTTGATGCAGAAAACTTGCATTTCTAAGAAACCAAATAGGAATTCTGCATTTTCACCCATTCGTTCTGCATTTTCAGGACTGCTGGGGAAGATCCTGATTGCCATCCGAGATGCAGGATTTGAAATCTCAGCTATGCAGATGGTACGTAGTTTGCAATGCGTCATAACCTATTAAGGAATTTTTTTCTACATAAGCTTTAACATGTTTTACGTTGAATTTTCCCTGTCCATGCAAGGCATTAAAAATTAAAAATACAGTTACTGAACTTGATTACCTTATAATCAAAAAATGTTTTTGAAACGATTTTGCCCTGAGAGAACTAATATTCAAATGGTGCGCCTCATTTGAGTTTATAAGGTATGGTCCGACAATTCTCGGAACTTTAGTTGCAAAATAAACATGGACTGGAATGATGTATTTAATTTTTACAAACAAAACATAGACGTAAGCCGAGTGGTCGTAATGAATTTTCCTTGTGGAGTCGGGACTGAGAAGCGGATGGAGGAGGAGGGTCAGTGCGGGTGTTGCGCCTGACCGGGGCCTTTCGCTGGTCCCTGGACTTTCACTCCACACCTTCTCTGGACTTAGTGCGTGTCACGCCCTCCGCTGGCAGGCGTGCCACCGGCCCCGGGGCCCCCGGTCGCTCAGCATCACTCTGTCCCCTCCGCTGGCCCCGGGGCCCCCGGTCGCTCAGCGTCACGCTGCCGACACGTTTCCAGGAAACCCTGCGTGGAGGGCACAGCGCCGGTCCCCAGGAGCTCGTGCCTTTGTGCTCCGCTCACTGGCGCATCTGGCTGGAAGTTGGGCACAAATTACTACAGGAATCAGATCGGCGATTAGAGTTCGCCGTGTTCGAAGACCAGCGAGTTTATGGCGTTAGGATAGTGAAGTGCTGATTTTGGAGCTGCGAATCTTCTTACCAATATAATTAGTATGTGCTTCTTCAGAAAAGGAAGTGCTCTTGATTTCCATGAAGCCTTAGGATCACCCGAGGTCAGGGGTCAGGGCGCTGACTGGGGTTCTGGCTGTTTTGTGTCCCTGGTTGGTGGGAATGCCCACAAGCCAAGGAAAGATCAGAAATATCAACTCGTTTGCAAAATCATCAGGCAGAACGTGGAGACTGATGAGGAAGCTGATATTTGCGGAGTCTTACCTGGAACTGTAGAGGGATTGTTAGCCGAACGAAACCTTCTCAAATAGCAGCTTAGTGATGTACTCACAGGACTGTAGGACCTAAGCTTGCTTAAAAAATCATCATTGTGGAAATTTTAGCTTTAAACGTTGATCTAACTCTAGCCAGACCAACTTGCCCCTAGCTCTGCAGTCGGCCACAGTAGGTGCTCGGTGAAAACCAGGATAATGCAAAAAGCATTAACTGATCCTGTGTGTGGGTTGGGGGTGTGTGGCGGGGGGTGGCAGTTTAATGACAACCATAGTCCTTGAGTTTTGGAGTCAGAAAGATCTATTTCTGAGTCACAGTTCAGCTCTTTTCTAGGTATGTGACCTTGGCCAAATTTCAAGCATTATCTTGCGTTCTCTCACCTAAGCAACGAGAACATTGTCTCAGTGGATTATTCTGCGGGTTAATTGAAATAACTTTACCCAATGGAAAATTTCCATTGCAAGAATTGTAGAATTTCCAGTGCAAATTACTAAATACTTAATTCTATCTTCTGTTATTACTTCGTTAATAACACAGGTTGTGTGAACATAGGATAAGAAAAACTGGAATCAAACAATTCCCTCCCTGTAACCGTTTCGTTGCCTCCTAGTGTGAACTGCTCAGTCCGAGTAGACAGATTTCTCGGTGATCGTCGATCCTGGTGACGACACAGCAGCAGAGTAGGGGCTGGGGAATAAAATTGGCAATTCTGAGGCTATTTTAAAAAATGTACGGTCTTAGTTTTCGATCCACTAGAACTTAACGAACTTTTATTGCTAACTGAATTGGGACAAGAATGAGCCCTTGTACGCGTATCTCGTAAGCATTGTCTTCACAGTTCTTTTTGAAGAGCAGGGGGAAGCCAGACTTGTGGAAGTGCTTGGTGAGGAAACAGACCAGGGATTTTTCCGAACACTTGGGAGAAAAGGGTATATTTTCAGCCCTCTCTACAAAATCCAAAGTACTTTTCTTTAGTAATATTCTTTCCCTGTGTCACTAATTTATCAGTAAACTATATTGTATACGTCTTTTTTTTTTTTGTATTGAGGATGAGGTTTTCTTCAGAGAGGGGTACAGTCTAGTGATTAAGAGCGTGATCAGACTGAACCGGAAGGCAAGTTCATCAAGGTCGTGTAACCCCTCTGGGTCTTAGCCTCCTCTGTAAATTGGGGCTGTTAAGACCACTTATGTCGCAGGGTCGTTGTGACGAGTAAATGAGATGAAGTATGTACAGGACCTAGAACAACGCTTGGTGTATTAGGCACTCAACAGTTATTATACATTTTTATTATTGATGAGCTAATCTTTAAAGAGTGATTTATGCAAGGTCAACATTTTAAAGTAAAGAAATATATCGACGAGATCAGAAATGCTGAGTGCTAAGCGCGGCTCATTGCCTTTGGTTGGTTGGCTTATAGTTTTTGTTTTTTTTTTCAATATAGTTCAGCATGGATCGAGCTAACGTTGAAGAGTTTTACGAAGTGTACAAAGGAGTGGTGTCCGAGTATAACGTAAGTGCGAGGCGCGCGTGAGGCGCTGGTGCTCAGAGCAGTTCGTGGGTCTCACGTCTTGGGGAGCTCAGCGGGACCTTTAACCGTGAAAGCGTTCCTTAAAGTAGTCACGATACTGCCAGTTGCCAGCCGATCATGCCCAGGGACTGAGGCATTCTTATCCCGGAGGGCCACTGGATCAGTTTTAAAAATACGATATTATTTCATTTATGAAACAATTATATACAGGTATGCAAGAAAAAAACTTGCTGGGTGGGCTATTGACACATTTTGAAATTCTCTCTGGAGTTTATAATATTCTCAGGATGGAAGACTGTCTTAAATGCTTTAGAAAGTTAAAAGCAAATAGTTCTTAACATTATGGTATCACGCCACAGCAGTACATAATACCAGCTTTCATGACACAAATGCGGATGGTGTCATCTGGAAATGTGACAGAGACAAAGAAATACTAAGACTTAAAAGGAGTCGTTCAGAGGGCAGTGAAATACGTCCTTGAAAACAAATGACTATATTCAAGTCGTTTGACTGCGTGGAAGCCAAATCTTAAATTAAAATCACATAGAGTAGATCAAAGTTAGTTTCCTTCCCCTCTTTATCAAATTATCTCAGATACATTTGCACTGGTGGCCCGCCTCATCATCCGCGTTTTGTAGAGTTTTGCATACAGGCTTTTCTTTTTGCATAAAGTTCACTGTTCCTGACAAGAGACTCGATTTCCCCCACCCCATCCCCCACTTCTCAACCCGCCTTAAAACAGGAAAATGAGGTGGTCCAAGAACTGCCTGAGCCTTGGTCTCGTTTGCCCCCCACAGTAAAGGCTGATAACGCAATAGCCCATGTGGCATTCAGCACACTGATAGTTCCCCCCTTGTTGGAAGGAACCAGAGGATTTTGCCTTTTCTTATAGCTTCTCGAACTTCCGTGTTACTGGCTTTTCACTTTACAGTCATGCCTTTCTTAAATGGAAGGTATTTTTAAATGTGTTAACGTAACATCATTTATTCAGCCGATGGCAACCGTTTTCCATTTCTTAAATCTTTCTTTTTACATCTTCCTTCTTTCATTTGTTCAATTTGACTTTTAAGAAAATATTCCTGAAAGCAGCTGCCTTCATTCCTCCACATCGCGTGGTCGTTTTATCGTATATAAGACTGAGAGACCCGCGGAGACATACCCGCCAGCAGCCGTGCCCCTCAGTTACCCCTTCACACAATGCCACGAGCTGTTGAATTCGGCGACAGTAGTCGAGGGTGCTCGACTTCTTGTAGGTACATGTCTGAGGTCGGCCATATTTACCTTAGGAAAACTTAAAATAAAACCTCATCTCTGACTTTTAACGTCTTTTATATAGTGCTTTAAAATACCGTACATGCAATTTCTTTTTATGTGATATGCATTTATTCTTAGGATTTTTTGATCTTGGGATTGTGGAGGTAAAATGAACATTTAGGACTCAAGTTTAAGTTCAAGGAAGAGGTACATTAAATGCTGCACACCCTTAGGTGTCTCTTAATTTAGACGGTTTATGTAATTCTGTAAAGTAGGCCTGCATAAAAATAATCTGAAGAGGCAATGTAGCCTGAAGGGACAAAAACGGGTGATCTGATTCTTGCTTACGTTGCTGCTTCAGCATTTGCATCATGAAAAGGTGACGATTCCTGTCTCATAGGGTTATCACGACCCACTTACTTGCCACACACATACTGGGCGTCTATCTACTGGGCGCCAAACCACATGTTAGATCCCGGGCATCAAGCGAACAGCGGCAGAAAAAGCTCACAACCCGTGTTGGTGGAGCTTCGTCCGGGCGAGCAGGGCCATCGAGTCACATTTATCGTGGAGTTAGAGCTGCTGGTAGCGAGTTATCTCAATTTTGTTGATCTGAAAAAGCCTTTATTTTTCCTTCATTTTTGAAAAATATCTTCTCACTTGGGTATAGAATTCTGCTATTATGTGTCTTCTCTTTTTTTTCCTCTTTCAAGAGTTTTTTGTTATTTTTAGGATTTTTTACTGGGTCGTATATTTGGTTGTGTTTTTGGTCGTATTTTGTTTTTAGCCAATTTTATTATGATGTAAAGAATAGTACTGTACTTTACATTGATTCTCCTTGGATTTCGTTGGATTCGTAGGCCTATGGGTTTCATCAGAGTAGAAAACTTCTTAAAAATTCTTGAAATATTTTTCTGTTCACCCTTCTTCTTCTGAGACTCTAGTGTCTAGTGACACGTGTGACAGCCAGCTCGACATGGTCCTTTAGGTCTCTTTGTTGTTGTTATTGTCATTTTTCTTCGTCGTCTTCATACCTGCTTTTGAATAGTTTCTGTTTCACGTCTCAGATTCATGTGTCTTCTACAGTATCTCGTCCTGTTCACCCCATCCGGTGTATTTTTCATTCAGATGTAGTTTTCATCTCTAGAAGTTTCACTTAGGTCTTTTTAAATATTTTTTATTTTCTCCGCATCTTGATGGCCATGTTTCCTTCTACGATTTGAGCATGTAGCACCCGTTTGTAATAGCTGTCTCAACATCCTTATGTAACCTACATCATTTCTATCATTTCTGGGTCTGTATCAGCTTATTAAGTTTTCCTCTGGCGATTGCTCATCTTTTTGAACTTCTCTGCATGCCTGGTAATTTTCGTTGGATGCAGGATATTGGGAAATTTCGTGTTACATGGTATTGTCGCGGTCCTTCGTTCAGGCACTCGGTTAAGTTGGTTGGGATCAGTTTGGCCCTTTGAGACTTGCTTTTAAGCTATACCGGATGAGAACAGAGCACCCATATCTAAGGGCGGTTTGGGGCACCCACGATGATGCATCGCCCTCCGAGGACTCCGATGATGCCCCGTGTCTCATCTGCGGTCTGTCCATCCCGGCGGGGAGAAGCACGAACCTTCTCAGCCTTGTGCTGCCGCTTCACCTACTGCTCCTGGTAGTTCTTTCCTCAGCCTTGGGTGCTTTCTTCTACCCGAGCACAGGCTCTTAGCCGAAGACGGCAGTGCGCGTCTCTGCGGACTCCTGTAGCTCACCTCCCCCGGCTCCCCGGCCCGCCAGTATGCCGTCCTGCACGTTCCAGCCGCACTGGCCTGTGCTGCCTGCCCTTCAGTGTCTGGAAACTTCTTTCGTGTAGGCTGCCCAATTTCTAGGCGTCTGAGATGAGAGGAACCTGGGTCCTGTTCTTTCTAATATCTGGAAGTCATTATAGGGTTTAAAAGGGTCTTTGAGAGAAACACTCTGGAGTTTATATTTTAGAAATGTTCATTTGACAGTACTGCGCTCAAGTGGGGAGAGCCCTTTGAAAGGGAGCTGTATAAGAAGATGATTTCAGGTAACGGAGTGTCAGGTGGTAAAGCACTATGTTAAAATGGCGGTGGTGCGGGGAAGGAGAAGAGGGAACACACATTTCTGTAGGAAAAATGGTCGACATTTGGGAACTGTTTGGCGTGTGGGGTACAGGTGGGGAAGAAGGCAGAGGTAACTAACATTTTGAGGAATAGAGGTGCAATTAAAAAAAGGAGGGGTAAAGATGAAATTATGTTAATTTTTAATATTCTTTCACATTGCACGTTATAGGAGATGGTGACAGAAATGTATTCTGGCCCTTGTGTGGCATTGGAGATTCAACAAAATAACCCTGCGAAGACATTTCGAGAATTCTGTGGGCCCGCAGACCCTGTGAGTTATTTATTGTTTAAAATGTTAACCGTTTGTTTTGTTAACTAAGTATTTTAACTGGCTTGATGGTTTTTATTGCTCCTTAAAAGAAACAATACAAATATGAATAGAATAGACAAAAAATTTTATTCAAAGTAGCATTTTACATAATTTATTTTTATATGACACTCAAGAAAAAGTGAATTTTTTCACAATACAGAATGGGCAGAAATATTTACTGTGGCATTCCTCTTTTTGTTTCTTCTTGCTACATTGTCTAGGTAAGTAAGTTTTTAAAGCTCTGTGATAGAAATTCTCTAAGGTATTCATTATCCTTTGACATGTGTGAAGAACACTGACATGTGTGTGTATATGTTTTCTTTCGAGAAGGTTTTGCCATTTTTATGAGACAATTCGCGTTGGTGAGTAACTGAAATAGCGTGGACCTCTGTCTGGCCAGACCGTGTCACTCGGCCAGGCTGCACAGTCACCCGGGCCTCTTCGGACAAGCAGCCACAGAGCAGGCAAAGTCCATTCTCTTCCTTTTAACATATGACACAGTTAAAGATTAGCTGGTTATCATTTGTACTTCAGGAAGACAGAAAAGAGGAAGAAGAAAAAACGGAACAATTCCCAGAAAAGATGCCTATTTCACATAACATACGCTTATTTAGCCTTATTAATTAGGGAAATGCATATTAAAACAATGATATAATATTCTGAAATCAGAGAGATGGGCAGAACTTAAAAAGACAGACACACCCGGCGTTGGCAGCCACATGGCAGAGAAGGCCCTGTCGGCTGCAGTCCCGTGCGCGAGATGTGGTCACTCTCAGACAGTTGAGCCTTGTCCTTCACAGCAGTCACGTTCCGTGAAGTCACCACGAACAGTGGACTACAGAAGACTGAGATGTTGCTCGAAGGGGCCACACAGGGTCAGGGTTCCTGGAGCCTCTGGCCAGAGCCTGTTTTTCAGATGCGCAGCACGTAACCTTGTTTTACGTGTGTCGCTGTTTGCAGACGCCGTGTTTAACACGGGGCGTTGACTCGGTGACGTTGACCCCACAGCCAGCAGCACTGTCACTCGTGCTTGGATGGTGCGTGCGCTGCACACGCATCTCGTCCCCGAGGCACAGCGCCGGCTCCACGCGCCGAGGAGCACGAGACAGCCCTCGGGCGCGATGCACGGGGCCACGTTACACAGTGAAGCGACACCAGACGCACACAGGTGTGGGGAACGTGGCCCCAGGAGCCGGCAGAGCGCACGTGGCTCATCGTATCAGGGCCAAAACGTCAGCCTCAGCCGGGATTCTCGTGACAGCGGCTCACGTTGCTGCTGCCCCGTGCCTGCCCACGCGTGAGCGAAAACGCTGCCCGTGTCGATTTGGGGCTGGCACGCAACTTCTAGTGAGTAAACGACTTTGCAAAAATGGAACCCGTGAACCATGAGGATCGACTGTATTTTCTACATTTTTTTAAAATAATGAGCTGGGATAACGTTTCTAAAAGAAAAATAAATATAAAAAATAATTAGCAGTGCCTGCCTAATAAAATATTCTGGCTAAAGAAAATAATTTTTCTCGAAGAGTAGATAGGTGTAAAGGGTTTAATACAAATAGCTTGAAAAAGTACAAAATACATACTAGAAAATTCTACATTTCAGAATAACTATTTGTCTTGGATTTCTTTTGATTTGGTGTTAAATAATGCTCAGCCCCAAAGCATGTCAAAGGTAATAACTCCATCTCCGATTGTGAGAAGACGAAACAATGTGACCTAGTGAGAGAGTAATGGAGAAGCAGTTGTCGTTACACGATTGGATAAAACAATGTTTTATAATATTTTTCCATGACAATTAAAACAAAGCTTTATTCAAATATAATAATACTGGTTCAACAGCAATATTTTCCTGAAAAGGCAGGAGATGTAATTCAAATTTTCGAGTAAGATCTTTTGAACTTTACATAACCTTTTCTGGTAATGTGTAGGTTTTTCAAATAACTTAAAGTGAAAATATTACCACCCCCCCCAACACTTTTTTTGGTTAAGTATCAGAACCGGGATTCAGACCTTTTTATTGTTGCTCCCGAGTTCTCATGTCTTTAACTGTTGTGTTATACTGTCTTGTTACGTGTCTGTGAGACCCTGTCGCAATATTACCAGGGCGTAAAATAGGTACAAACCAAATGACTTTTGAGAAGTAGATACAGAAGTACTTTTTTCTTCATCAGGTTTTAAAACTAGGCATTGTATAATCTTTTTCTGAGTGATTTAGCTCTATCGACTCAAAAGCCACAAAATAAACGATAGTGTCTCCCTCATATTACATAAGTCATAATTACTTACATTATGGATCGATGGTCAAAACCCAAGAAAACATTTAAAAATTGGATTAAAGACAAAAGGAACTTTACACCCTGTCACTTGAACTCCTAAATATGACATAAAACAAAATGTTTTCCCCATAAAACTGCTCAAACACCATTTTTGTACGAATACGAATAGTGTTTATGCTTAAGTCTTTTCCAAAAGTTGTTTTTTGTATATCCAGATTTTTAGAAACATTTGTGCATCCTGTAACCCATCACATAGAGTAATTGCATCCTCTCATACGGTCTGTCAGTACATTATACTATGAGAAACGGTGGTGTTTAAAGACAAGAAAGGAAAACCTGAGATATAGTCTTTGATCTCAAAGAACTTACGATCTAGACAAGAAACAGTAAAAAGGCCGGAGTGGGAGTCCAAGATAGAGGGGTTCAGAGGGTGCCCCGGTGAGGCAGGGGGACTCGCAGGAACATGGGGAGAACGGCTGTCTGTGCAGCTTCGCTGGGGACAGTGTGTGACTCTGGAGGGCTGTCGCGGTGCCCTGTGGTCATGGACTCTCTTCTCTTCTTCCATCCTCCTCTTTTTCTCCCATTTTATTTGTGCTTACGACGTAACCGAGAAAGTCTGTCATTGTTTTGACACACAGTTCTGGTTTTGGCAATTGTATTTAGAATGTGCTCTTGTATTCTGACAGTGTGTGTGTGTGTGTGTGTGATATTAACTCATATTTTTAGAGGGGTTAATATTTAAAATATATAAAGGACTCATATAACTCAATAGCCCAAAAAAAAAAAAAAAATTGAATTAAAAATGGGGAGAAGATCTAAATAGATATTTTCCTAAAGAAGACGTACAGATGGCCAACAGGTACATGAAAAAATGCTCAACATCACTAGTCGTCAGGGAAACGCAAATCAAAACCATAATGAGATGTCACCTCACACCTGTTAGAATGACTTCTCAAAAAGACAAGAAATGACACGCTTTGGCGAGGATGTGGAGAAAAGGGAGCCCTCGTGCACTGTTAGCGGGGGTGTAAATTGGCGTAGCCCCTTATTATTCAGTCATAAAAAAGAATGAGATCTTGCCTTTTTTGTGACAACATGAATGGACCCTGAGGGAATCATACTAAGTGAATTAAGTCAAACAGAAAGACAAATGTTATATTATCTCACATGTAAAATCTAAAAACAAAAAAACCAAACAACTTCATAGATCCAGGGAACAGGCTAGTGGTTGCCGGAGGCAGGGGTTAGCGAGTCGGTGGGCGGGTGAAGGCCGTCAGATGCGAACTGTCAGTTATAAAATAGGACCTGGAGGTAGAACGCACAGCATGGTGACTGCAATTAATAATACCGTCGAACGTCTGAAAGTTGCTAAGAGAGTACTTAAAAGTTCTCATCACAAGAAAAATATTCTAACTCTGTGGCAGGGGATGTTGGCTTCCCTTGGGGGTCATTTTTCTTAGACATATGCCGAATCATGTTGTACACCTGAAACTAATATAATGTTATATGTCAATTACATATTAATAAAAAAGGGAGAGATCTGATTTTAGACAAATATGAAATTATCACTGTGAAGGGCTGTTCTTTCTCTCTCTCTCTCTCACACACACACACAAATTATAGCTGGTTTAAACAATAATTTGGGTCTTTGACAATTTTATCAGGCTATACAATTAAAAAGCCAGTACTTATTAACTCTGCAAAGGAAGAAAAATAATATGTCTCTCGCGGATCTAAAACTACCTCTGAAGATATCTGAGCAACAGAGTTAGAACAATTTTCTTCAGAGGCGTCCCAACATGCCCGTCCCCAGGGGACAGAGCTGCTCACGTAGAATTATTTTGTCACATTGGTGTCGACTGTCACCCCACTTAGGAACCAAACACTAGGACGCTCTCTGGGTTGGGCCTTCATTTCCAGAATGAAGATATACGTTGTGGACATAGTTGTATAATTATATATGGTTTATGTATTTTTTCTAGTATCGTGGAGAATACAGAGAAGTCTCCTTTCCAGAGGTTCACTGTGGTTAGACTGAGGTATAGAAATAAATTTCATTTTAAGAGATTTTTTTACCTTTTTACCTCCATTATTGTTGGATTGGGATTAACCTCGTTATATTCAACTGAAATTATTGAATACTCTGTGGATATCGAGCATGGGATGGTGGACGAGACGTTAGCTCTGTCCACGTGGGATCGGAAGTCCGACGGTCATCGAACAAGCGATCGTGTGAGTGTGTACGGGTTACGGCTGTGGTCAGTGCTCACGGTGTGACCTCCGTGCAAGGGCTTTGCGAGGCGGAGGGATTCCTGAGGGACCGTCATGGACTCTCAGATCTGCAGGGTAGAGACCAGCCCTGTGTGGCGGCCCCAGACCAGGAGAGAACCCAGCACGTTCTTGGGATCCAGAGGAGTCCAGGTTGGTTCTCGCTTCAGGCAACATGACTGAAGAGATAGTCAGGTTCCGAAGGCCACGTGGCCGGCGTGCGCTATGCAAAGGCAGCGGGCAGTTCCGTGGGAAAGTGTCGTGGGGCATTGATCGGCTTAGATCTGTGTTTAGAAGGTCACCGTGACCACTGTATGCAAAATTGGTTGGAACAGCAAAGTAATTCCGACCAGCAACGACGAAAGCCTGAGCCGATGACCATTTTTGGGTGGTGGCAGCGGAAGGTTTGAGGACGCA